GGCAATCGAAATCTGACAGCAACAGTGCATTTTTCCACTTGGGCGAGCGCTTTGCGGACAGCTTACCTCGCGCATGAAATCAGCCGCAGACCAGCAAATCACTGAGAATGCGCTATAATCCTGACGAGTCACAGCAACAGAGCGGAGGCGAGAAAAGAAAAAATTGAAGTATTACTGTTATTTTAAATGTTATTGTTAAATTTGCCAAGATTATGGCCTCTGGTGCTGATATGGTGTTAAATGCTAAATAAATAAACCACTATTTATTGCATTTTCTGCCCTAACACTTGTTTTATATTAGCAACGTGTAACCAATCTCTCATGGATCATTAGACTTGTGGATGATATCGAGAATTGTGAAATTTCACCGGTGTTGGTATCATGAGAATCCTTCATGTATATTTGTGTGTGTATATGTATTATCACTTATATTTGTTTCTAATATTTCTTTTTATTGCATCATAACATAACATGGCATATTCAACCTTATTTGGTGATGAATTTTACACAGAAAGGGAAAAAAACTAAAATTATGATATTTTTATATGCACAGCAGTGTTATTTTAGTATCATTGAGATACTATTACAGTTTTTATTAATATTTTGAATCAGTTTTTTATTTTATTTTACAGTTTCATTTTAAAGTTACTTAATTTTAATTTTAGTAATTTTGTTGTGTTATTTTGTCATTTTAGTTTTTCTTAATATTAATATGTTTACAGTTTTTATTAATTTTTATTTAATTTTTAGTTTTAGTAATTTTTAGTACTTCAAATTAAACTAAAATGAGAAATATTGCCCTGGCAACTAGTTAAAATAAAATATGCTTTATTACTATATTATTATTATTATTATGTTTTTGTTCATTTTTTAGATTTCTGGGCATCAGGTTTATTACAGATAACTAAAACTGAAATTTCAAAACGTTTCAAAAAACATTTATTTTATTTCAAGTAATTTCTTTTTTAATTTAACTTTGATTTCAGTTTTAGTTAACTAGAATAACCTTGAGACATATATACATATTTATTAAAAACATGGCAAAAACAAAAGACACAACAAAATTACTAATACTTTAACTAATATAGAAATGAAAAATATAATAAAAACTCATTCAAAATATGAATATTATTTTATGAATAGTATATTGATGATACCAAAACAACACACAGTTGTGCATTAATAAGTGGGGGGGGGGGACTCTAGCACACACTGATTACAACAATGTATGCACATACATCATAAACATGATGATTTGTGTTGTTTACACCTGTTATTTTCAGATCTAACCGGTGGAGTTGAATCATAATGGCTTGTTTTTGCAGGTTTTGATCGTGGCAAAGAGGAAATCCTGCCTCTGAAAGAAGACTCCTCACTCTCCATATCCAAGAGCAAGGTAAACTCACACTCCTGTTTATCCTCCCTACCCATGATCCTCTGGGGCTGGAATCGGGTCGATACGGGTCGCCAGGTCCTCCAGCAGTCATCAGCCTGTGTTTATTAATTATACATAGTCAAGAGCGTCTCAGAGGGGAAGGGACAGCAGGGGGGCGAATGCTGATGAGCAGTGCCTCAGAAATAACCCAGTTAGCATCCCACACTCGCTAATGTGATCAAATGCATCGCAGCGTTGATATGGCTAGTCTGGGCCAAATAAAGCCGGATTCGTGACCGCACATAAACGCTAAATCTCAGTCTGTCTGTCACCGTGTCTCGTTGCGTCACAGGTTTGCGTGAGTCACTCTGGTGGGTTTTGGACGTCGTAGACGTGCCGTTACATCCAGACAGACCATTAGAAGACGCAGTCGACATCCAGAATAAATCCCAAATCACAGAGCCGTCAAACACAAGCGGCAGAGCGCTTTCAAAAGGCTAATTAACCCACGTTCACATAGAGATATCTCACCTAATCGGCTTTGAAAAGCTGCGGGGTGAAATTAAACATTAAAAGTTCAGACCCACCTGGAAGGTGAACTGAGAAAATGTTCAGACTTTACATGCTTCTTGTTAGTTATGACTGTATTTTAACTGTATATATACAGTATATACTATAATATGTCTGCATCATTTTTATTATTTTTTAATAAATTTTTACTAAAAGTAAAAAAAAAGAGAAATGTTGTGGCTGAATATAGCTGAAATATGTTTTTTTTAAAATATTTATTATTAATAATGTTTAATATTTAATTTTTATTATATATTTTTTAATGTATTTTTTAATTTAATATGTATATATCTGAAATAAAAGTTAATGTTTATTTTATTTCAAGTAACAGAAATGTATTTTTTTCTGGTTTTAATTTTATTTTCAGTTTTAACATTAATAACCCTGATTTTTAACATTAATAACCCTGATGTATGCATGTATGTACATTTTATTTATTTATTTATTTATTAATTAACTTAAAGTTTTAGTAATTTTGTTGTTTTGTCATTTATATTGGTGTTTTTTAAAATGTCTGCATTGTTTTTTTATAAATTTTTTATTCAGTTTTATGAAAACTAAAAAGAAATTGAGAAATGTTTTAGTTGAATGCTAATAATGTTTAATATTTTCTTTTTTATTTCAGGTAATGTTTAATTTTTTGTTTAATTTATATATATTTATTTTATATCAGGTAATGTTTAATTTATATATACACACATGCACCGTTTAATATTTGTACAATATAAAATAACTTTTTCTGTTTGAATATTTTTAATCAATGAATTTATTTTTTTATTTTATTTTTTATATTTTAATTTCATTTGTGTGCGCATGTGTGTGTATGTATAAATAATGTATGTATATGTATGGATTATGCCACATTAATTTAGCCCAACCTAAGGCACAGCTCATAATATCATAATGTGCATGATGCTGTGTAAATTACTAACCCTTATGTTGGTTTTGCAGTCAGAAACCAAGCTCTATAATGGCTCAGATAAAGACGTATCGGTGTCTGGAAACAAACTTACTAAGAAGGAGTCACTCAAGGTACAGCCACACTCATTAATTGATCAATGCATGCTTTCAGTGCATTTCTTATATATGTATTCTGATTACTAAAGATAATGACTAATAATGTGACGTTTTGCATGCATGCATGTCTGTTCAGGTGCAAAAGAAGAACTACAGAGAAGAGAAGAAACGCGCCACTAAAGAGTTGCTCAGCACCATCACCGATCCGTCTGTCATCGTCATGGCCGACTGGCTCAAGGTTTGCCATTAAAATGTGTTTATTCTTACAGAACACACTTTTTTATGGTGCAAAATCTTGTTTTAATAATGCATGCTTTATTAATGCATGTCCATTTAATACACATCTCTGCATAAATGGTCTCAAAATTGTCTTATTTTTCATTAAATCTGTTGTAGTGCATCCAGAGCTGACCGATGCATTAAGTTTTGGTAGTAAATCCAAAGAGACGAAAGCATGATTAAAAAGTGAACAGCACTTGTCAGTCTTTCTGTCGCTGCAGGGGTAAACAACTCATGCTAATAATCACAGTAATACTCACATTGATGATAATATGTGAAAAAAGAGCTGCAGGGTCTGGAGGAAAGGAGGTTAAATCGATCTTAGCTTTCGATCAGCCCACATGAGGAAACATCCAGTCCTGTACGAGTCACTCTTTCTCTTTCAGATCCGAGGCACGCTGAAGAGCTGGACCAAGCTGTGGTGTGTGCTGAAGCCAGGAGTCCTGCTCATCTATAAAACCAATAAGAACGGCCAGTGGGTCGGGACCGTCCTGCTCAACGCCTGCGAGCTCATCGAGAGACCCTCCAAGAAGGACGGCTTCTGCTTCAAGCTCTTCCATCCGCTCGAACAGTCCATCTGGGCCGTCAAGGTACAGAGAAAACTCTGCGGGAGCCATTCAGATTAAGATGAACATTTTTGGATTTGCATTATTTGCATTATGATTTAATTATTAAAAGGGGTTTTCAAAGGGGTTCTAATTATTTTGGGGTCCTAATAAAAAAAATACAAATAATAATAATAATAATAAAAAAA